GCTTTTTTCTAGCTAGATTTCCTTACATTGTTTCTAGCTCTGCTATTTGCCTGTCATCCCACATTCACATATAAAATGGATATATGTGTCTTTTAAATATGACTATAAACAAGTGAGAGTGGTGTCGTAAATAAAAAATTTAAACAATTACATTGTTGTACAAGTGTATGTCATAAAATTACAATCATTTCATTTTGGAAGAAATCTGAGTCAAATCCAACTGAGAATGCCCATCATCCCTGGATTTCTCAATGGAGTTTATTCAATGACTTATACTTCAATATGCTAATTCAAATTTTAATATTTTAGAAGCACTGAACAATTTTCATATGCCTGGCATGGCTAATTATACCAACATTATTCATAAAACATAAAGAAATATAATTATGATATATTTTCTTTCAAATAACATCATTTGTGACTTCTGCCTGAATACATATTATGCATTGCAATTTTAGGTGTTTTTCTAAAATAAGAGCAATTATTCCAAAATGTTTAGCTGAATTTTACCATTAAATATGACTGCATGATATTTTATATTCTCCCTGATGAATTTAGTTCATGTAAGATTACATTGGATTCATTCTGTCTTCACCTTCCAACCTGACACTATTACAAATGCAATGCATTCTCTTCACTTTTCTAGATTTGGCTTTCTTATAAATTCTCACCTTCCATGGGCCATGGTATGTTGGTTCCAGAAAAGCCCTAACAAATAACCAATTGCTACTGCTCAGTAGAGTCCACAGTGTTTTTTACACCAAACATTTATATATCTATGCTATATATGCTATATGGATTCCCCAAAGGAAACGATCTATAAGAGAGAAATGAAAAAAGAAATCTAGCAATAACTAATAACTCAGTAGAGTCCACGGTGTCTTTTACACCAAATATTTTATATCTATGCTATATATACTATATGGATACCACAAAGGAAACGATCTATAAGAGAGAAATGAAAAACTAAATCTAGCAATAACTAAGTTGGTCTAGGTCCACTGAACTAGAAAAAAGCCTTTTCTTTATTCTGGTGATATTATACTAATGAGTTATTTTCATTGTGGTGACTAGGCTGATGAAATAGCAAAACAAAAGATAGGCATCATACATCTTTTTAATTTATTTTATAGTCAGTCACAGAAAAACTATGAGCAATTTCAGCAGTGTGAAACCTTCCCTAATGATAAACTAAATAATAACCATTTCTATATGTTTCTAATTTAGCAAATGCATTCTAAAAATCACAAAACCAGAGAGATGAAAGTGCCTTAAAAATGCACTTATGTTCTGAATTCATCTTTTACAGATAAAGAAATCCAAAGCTGAAAGAACAAAAATGATTTACATATTTTGATTACTGGTGTTTATCACCCAGATTGAAAATTTTCTACTGTTCTATGCCATGAACATAAAAATGTTTGCATCAAATAAATATCAACACATATAAACTGTCTATCCATTTCATTCCTCAAAGTACTCAAATCCTAGAACATGCTGTTATCTCATGAGGATGTATGTGTGTGTATTCAAGTTTGAGAACAAATTATCATGTGTGTGTCTAGGAGGGAGTTGGATACTAAATGTAGCAAGAAAAATATTGGACCAGTGGTCTGAAGCTCTTGTTTTAATTCTTTTCTGCTACATACTTCCATAGTGGCCATTTATAAAAATACTCATGAATATTACTTAACTTCTCTGATTCTCAATTACTTCATCCATATGGTGAGAGTAATCAAATAATTTTCCACCTTTACAGTTACTAACCTTATAACTTTGAAAATAACTCAAATTATTCCCTTTTTTCCATTTTTCATATATGTTTTAGAGGAAGAAAGAAACCTCCAGAGCATGGAACATTAGAATTGTGTTTTAACAGAAACATCACTTTCTAGATACTCATCTGTGAGAACTATCATTATTCAAAATATACTGTAAGCAAGCTATAAAAAATTTTATATTATCAATCCTGTCCTTGGGTTAAGTAGGATGTTAACTGGTAAATACCTCCCTTTTATATAATGATTGTAGAAAATTAAATATGGATGGTCAGAAAAAATTCTAACCATAAACTGAATCCAGAATTTCAGATGACTAAGTTTTTTATCTTTCTTTTCACTGATCCTTATTATTTATTGTTATTATCACCAAATATCTATATGTTTGATCATGCTGTTTGTTCAAGTATCTGTCTCTCAAGTTCAAATAAGCAGAAAAACCAAAACCTTGAATTTTCTATAAGTTCATTACACATGTTTTATGTGTAAACATTTAGTTATAGTTATATCCTTGAACCTTTTGTTTCTCCTTGGAATTAAAAGAAATTTAAAGAAGCTGATTTTTTTGTAACACTGTTTCCTTTGTAGATTTTAATTGTGTTACGGTAAAGTTGTGATCTTAGGCAAGTTGACAATCTTGGGTGATTAAGATTATCTCCTAAATTACTTCCTCAAAACATTTCAAAAATTAGTAATTTCAATTGTTTCTTGTTCTATTTTAAACTGAACATTTTCTTTCCAAACCAGTGTGTTACCAAAAAAGCTCTAAAATAATTCTTTTTCTTTTTTACTTCACAACTTAAGCAAAATTCTTCTTGCTACTTAATGGGGAAACAAATGATCTCTATAGCTGCCTAGAACTTATTTCAGGTTCATTACTCAGAGCAAACCATCAAACCAACTCTTCCAGAACATCTTATTAATACTAGAAGCCATCAGGCAAGCTGTCAACTCTTCCTTCTCCACAAGTACCTAGTGGTCTCTATCTGGAAAACATTCCCTGTCTCAATCTACTTTTAGTGCCCCAACTTCTTTCCAACCCACATCTTTCTTTTGAGAGAGATTTTTGTTTCTAGAATGTAACTGGCAGTAGGATGGTTACATGAAACAACATGTAAAAAAATAATTTTTTAAAAAGATTATCTTCACTTTTTAAATCATAGTTTTTTTTAAAAAAAGTGTAAGGAACAAATTTATTCTGATTTTATAATTCCTTTCTACCCGTTGTGCTGCCTTCATTTTTTACCTTCTACTACTTTTCCAGTCAAGGTAGATTTTTAAAACCATGGATGTTTTAGCCATTTGAAGAGATGCTAAAACTAATATGTAACCAGAAGATATATCAATGAGTCCTAATGATTTCCCTGCTCTCATTTTGTTCATTTAAAATAAGTATGGTTTAGAAAGAAATCATAGGAATGACATAAAAATTAACATCATATTTTAAATTATCATTTGTCTTCTTTAAACTCTATTATTTTGCAGATCACATTATGAATTCTAGCAGTAATCTGGACAACTTCTAAATGTTTCCATAGAAAATTTATCAACATATTCATTATTTGAATCTCCAAATTCCCAGGGTAATTTTGATTTTAAAATATAAATTACTGCATATTTATTTATTTAATCTATTTTTGGTTCTGATATTACTCATTAAAATTTAAAATTTCATCATACTTTAAAGCTATATTTTCCTATTGGTTGTAAAGATGACTTTTTAAAAACAACTCTGTTAACTTCACAAAATAATATTTGTTTCACTCCATACAATTATTAAGAAAAATTCTTTACACCACAAATCATTGTATTTATTTTCTGACAGAAGTAAACATAAATTTTAAGAATAGCCAGTGCTACTGATTAAAATGTAGTCTAATGAAAGTTATCTACATATCAAACAGATATAATTGAAGATGATTAGAACATATTTTTAAGACAATTAGGTTTAATTTTCATACCCCTTCAATGTTTGACTCAAAAGAAATAAATTCTCTGCCAAATTTTACCATACAAAGTGTGATATTTTCCTTTCCTATTGCCAAATCATATTTGAATTTTTGATAAAACTAATTGATTAAATGAATTTGCATCCATTATCCTTAATCTAACTATAGAATCACAATAAAATATAAAACAGATTAGTGACTTATTCTGTATTGATAATAACAAAACACCCTATACTGGGTAATTTGTAATAACAGAAATTATTCCGGAGGCTGGAAGTTCGAGATTATGGGATCAATAGGTTTGATGTCTGGTGAGGTACATTTTCTACTCATAAATAATAATTTCTGGCTGTATCCTCTAATGGCAGAAGGACAAAAATCTCCCTTGGGCCTCTTTTGTGAAGGCAGTTACACCACTCATGAGGACAGGGCCCTTAGGACTTAACAACCATCCAAATAACCCACCTCTTAATACCACCACACAGGAACTAGGTGTCTATATAAAATTTTGTGCAAGAACACATTCAGATCACATCAATTAGAAACAAATAGTTTTGTATACAATAAGCACTTTACTGAAGAGGTGGCTAAACAATTAATTGGATTCTTAACAGTATCAAACAGAGAATTCCACTAGTATAAGATGTTTCAGTCAAAATTTTCATTAATTGGAATGACCATTCCAATAAAACAAAAAGTTTGTATTTACATTGAAAACTTTTAATTCACTCACATACAGAGAAAATAGAGGAAAATTCTTTAATATTTGAAAATTGTAGAAGGAAAAAAAAAAGTATAGCCTAGCTCAATATGTTAGGAACCCAGCACAAAGCCTTTGATTTGTATGCAGCATCTAAAGTTTTTCCTTGTAGCAATGCATTTGTCATGAGTACACTGGAAATGTCATTGCAAGTTGTAACAACACTCAAGGTGGTAGTTATCTCAGAGAAGACCAAAGTAAAAATACTGACAGTCATATTTTAAAAGTATGTTTCATTTACATCAAAGTCATAAAAATGCCACAAAACTTTGTAAATAATTATGCCTATTTTCCTATGATAGTTCAATTAAAAAAAACCACACACACACAACTTTCTAAATTCTGATGAAAGTGGAATGCAGCATTAACATTTACAAAACAGCACTCTAGGAGGAAAGCAACACCACAGTTGGTAGCAAAGATGCAAAACTGATGTTCATTTTGGATGGCCTTTTGTGAGGCTCATTTCATTGCTATTTAAATTAAACAACAAAAACAAACAATGGAACTTACCTTCTTGAACTGCTTGAAAAGGGTTGTTGCCATCAACAAATGTCACTGAAAATGTGATTTTCTCAGTCTGTAAGATTTCCTCATTCTGGTTTAGGTCACCAACTGCTGTGCGAAACACCTCATCATCCTTTTTGGCAGATTCATCAAAAATTGCTCCTAGAAAGAAGTGAGTGTTACCATTAAACAATAACATAAATACTCTGCCGTGACCTCTGGAAATATGCCACAGAGACTTATGTATTTGAATAACATACACGTTCACGTAAAGCATGCACTTTATTTATTACTGGAACACACTGTACAGAAGCAGCATGATAACTGAGCAGAAACACAGTCACTTCCACATGGAAATGATGAATAGTACATCAAAGTGTTATTGTAGGGACAGCCGGGGGAGGACAATATAATAGGAACAAAAGCATTTTGCAGGACAGGCTAATGCATGGAATGTCTTATATCCCAAGATCTTTAGGAATTCATAGTTTGAAGAATGCATTTGTGAATAATAGTAGGTAAAATCAAGAAAAAACTTTGAAGGCCCGTTTACAGAGCATACAGGCATCAAAACTATAATCTGAATTCCTTTTTCTTTTCATTTTATTTCTTTCTCCCCTTGTGGCCCCCCTCTGCTCCACTTTTTGAACAGGGGTTTTATTACCTTGTATAGTGATAAACTCATTGATATTTTTAGAACATTTAGGGACATGAATCTGTGAACTGAGGGGAAGGAGAAATGTTTACTGAAGAACTAATGTTAAGTCCTAGGGAATAGCAAGGACATTTTTCATACACATACAACAATGATACTGATAAGCACTGTGGCTAACCTTTACTGGTTGTCCACATCATATTGGTTAAACATAATGGTTCCAAGTGCAGATTGATTGATTTCATATTCTGATTCTGCCACTCCTTAAGTCTATGACCTTGTGTGAGCTATTCAAATTCTAAGCCCCACATTCATCCTCTGTGAAAATCTAAGAAAACTAATATCTATCTGTAAAGATCATTACATGTACTAAGTGCAAACTGTAAATAACTCATTGAAATTAAATAGGTAATTTCTCAATAAATGTTATCTCTGTCTTCTTTTTAATAAAATAATAAATCTGGAGGACATGATATCAAATGAAATAGGCCAGACACAGGAGGAAAAATACTTATACAATCCCACTTGCTGGTGGAATCTAAAAAGCCAAACTCATAGATGCAGACAGAACAAAAACAGTGCCTAGTGAGGAGATGGGGAGATATAGGTCAAAGGGAATGAATTTTCAGTTATGTAGGATAAGCAAGTCTACAGCTGTAATGTGCAGCATGAGTACAATAATTAATGTTGTATTGTATGCTGAAAAACTGCTTAGAGAGTATATTTTAGATGTTCTTACACACATACATACATAGAATTTAACTGTAAAAAGTTCAGTATATGTATATGAACATAAAAATATCAAGGCCTATACCTCACATATATACAACCAAATAAGAAAATGCACAGAATAATTCAAAGAGTGCTTAAAAATTTTCATTGATTTTTAATAATGTGGTAGCTCATTTGATCCTTAAAATAATTATGTAATATCTATGTCAATATACTACTTACTAGAGTCATGGAAATTTTCAGTGCAAAAAATGCCACATGCCAAATGAAATAAAAGTCCCACAACAAGGGCCAGAGTATTAGCCTACTTCACTCCAATGTTCTTGCTCTAAATCACTATGGGATACAGTCTTTCAGGATCTTACCTATAGGGATTTATTTTTTTTTTATGCACAGCTTGAACTTATTGCAAACCTGAGGAACTCTTTACCATCTTACCATGCATGGTTTCCTTGTATTATTAACTTCCAGTTCTAAGCAAGCACACATTTTAAATTATTCATCTTATAAACATCTGACCAATAAGTAAAAGATATATATCCAGGGTAAATAACATGACAAAGAAATGACTGTATATACCTATCCAAATTTATATCCATATATACAAAATATTTTTTTTACTATTATATTATTTTTTGTAATATTTTGTTTTAGTTGGACACAATACCTTTTATTTTTATGTGTTGCTGAGGATCGAACCCAGTGCCCCACATATGCGAGGCGAGCGTTCTACCACTAAGCCACAACCCCAGCCCCTATTGTATTCATTTTATAAGCAGTTATAAAAAAGTGTATACAAAATAGCATATTTTGTATGTATAAATATGATACAGCTATTATATGTATACATACATAGGGACAGACTATATAGGCATGCGCAAATGTATACACAATATATATTTATAATTTACACAGATACATATCTACCTATCACGCAGACACTTCACACCAATAATTTTGTTGATATTACACATTTAGAAGCTCCAAGCTTTCCAGGGAAATACATATCAAGATATCATGTTACTAAATGCATAAATCAATGCATGATAAAGCAAGGCTGAAATTTTCAGGCTCAATGAGGACAGCAGGTTACACTTAACCTCTCCACCCTGAGATGACCGTACCATGCAAAGATTTCTAAGATACATACTGTGTGAAACTAACTTTCTTTTATCAACATGGTTTTATATTTGCATGCATTATAATAACACTTTGGCTTGCCATCTCTCACTATTGCCTTCTGTTTTCTATATATGTAAATATACTGTCCTTGGCTACACCTGTGAGAGAATGGAATGCATAATTTCTTAATTGACATATAAATAGAGTGCTTCCAAATTACATGATATATTTACTAGCCAGAATATTAATATGTTAGTATTATAATCAGATGGATAAATTGACAGGTTTTTTATGTAACATGTCATTTCTGACACAGATAGGATTATAGTTTTGAGACTAAGATTTTATAAAAATATTTAGACAATATGTTAGATTTTTTAATCATGCTGAGTTAAATCATTTTGTGTAGACTCATTTTAATATGTGATAATTCTTACACAAATAGAGATCAGTCATTACATTGAAATTTAATAGTATCTGAGTAAGATACACAAACCTTTTTAGCAATATGTTAGGAAGTTTGATATACATTTCCTATAATTGGAGCTGAAGTAAACAATTCATTTTAAACCAGATAACCGGAATGTCTATTCAAAGAGAACTGATATGTGTTTATATAGATGTTTCAGCTTGTCCTGTATGCTAAATGGGTCTTTTAGAAGAAGGGTCTGTAATCAACCTTGTTTTATGGCAGGAGGTGTTGGGGACTTCTGGCTGAATATTGGTAATACATTTTTAATGAAAGTATTTTACTACTGTCTGACAGAACACTTACTATTCCCTTACACATTAAAACCTGGCTTAATAAATGGCAGAAACCAGCAGAAATGATAGCAAATTAGTCAATTCAGCACTGAATTAAGATATACTAAAAAAAAATGTACAAAAGAAACAGTTCATCTTTCTGCAAACAGCAAGGAAGCGCACAGAAGAAACAGTTCATCTTAGTGCAAACAGCAGAACTCAAGGACAAGAAATCTCAGCCAACATTTCCAATCCCAGTATTTATTTACTTTTTTTCTTTAGCTATGAAATCGCATCTTAAATTTGGCTTTGTCCCAAAAGACAGCCAGCATTCTGAAAACAACCTGGTATGTTTCACAGGAAGCACTTCAGAAATGAAGGGCCTTTCATATTTCATGCACTTCAGCAGGAACACAAATGTCCTCTCTTTACCCTTTGGGTTAACACACACATATTGTCGGTGTTCTCCCAACATCAGACATCCTAGATTTACTTTTTTGTTTTAAAATATATTTTAGTTGCCAATAGACCTTTATTTTATTTTATTTATATGCAGCACTGAGGATTGAACCCAAGGCCTCACACATGCCAGGCAAGAGCTCTACCACTGAGCCACAATCTAAGCCCCTAGAAGTACTTTTAATCCTAACTTTTAACTTTTAACTCCATAATTTCACAAATGGAATATTCATAGCTCGGTAACTAACATGACAACACAATAGGCAGTTCCTTCCAAGGCATTTTATTAACATACTTTACTGTCACTTTTATAATGCTGAGGGAAAAATATCAGGTTAGACTTGTCCAGATGAAATTATTTTTCCATACACCCATGGTATTCAATCAACAAATTACACCCTATATATATACTTCCTACTGGCCAAACTGCAAGGAAGAATAATTAAGCAATAACACAGGAAAAAAACCCAGTAGCTCCCAAATATTACAATTATACCACTTTATAACTAGTTATCTCCCTTATTAGAGGTTGGAAGTCTGCTTTTTTCATGGGAGGAGAATAAAGTTGTTATTTAATCCTTACAACAAAGATGGTGACACACAGGTGGGTGTATATGTCTTTAAATGCAAACTATCATAATTACTTATCTTCTTATATATTAGAAAGGTCATTAACTATGGGTATGAGTTTGAACTCTTCAATTTATTATATACTCAAAAATATTCATTGAGGACTGGGGTTGTGGTTCAGTGCAGAGAATTTGCCTTGCATGTGTGAGGCACTGGGTTCAATTCTCAGCACCACATAAAAATAAATAAAAAATAAAATAAAATAAAGGTATTGTGTTCATCTACAACTAAAATATATTTAAGAAAATATTCATTGATTAACCTTTGCTTATATTAATGTACACATAATTTTATAAAATTGGACTCCTATATTCATATATAAGCAAGTTCTAAGTAAAATTAAAACAAAAATAGACTTGCAAATGTACTTAAATGTGAATTTATCACTGGCATTATCATGAATCTAGAAGAACCCACTTATTTAGCAAGGTATTAATCATACACTTTATTTTTAGTTTGAACATTTATTTAATTATTTTATGTCATATACATATAATAGGCAATTGGAGGAAACATTGCTTAGCTGGCAAGATAGTAGAGAAAAAAAATGTCTCCATTGAGCTCATTTTTCCCCTTAAAATATTGATATTTTTATATTTCTTAAAGAAATTTTATCACATCTTTAATAGAACTATTGAAACTATCTACGTACACCATTTTATGTAATTAACATGTCAAATAACTTTTAAATTAATCATTCTAAAAATTGAAAGCAAACAAGTGTCAACATTTCCCTTGCACAATTAATATGCACTGAATGCCACATTATTTAGAAAGACACATATAAAACAATTGCCCAAAACACTTTTGGTCAGAATTC